ATAGATAGATAGATGATAGATAGATAGATAGATAGATAGATGATAGATAGATAGATAGATAGATAGATAGATAGATAGATAGATAGATAGATAGACAGATAGATAGATGATAGGTAGATGATAGGTGATAGATAGATGATAGATAGATTTTATTTTAGAGAGGAAGGGAAAGGGAGAGAGAGAATCACTGATGAGAGAGAAACATCTGTCGGCTGCCTCCTGCATACTTCCTACTGGGGATCGAGCCAGCAATATGGGGGGCATGTGACAGAGTATCGAACAGGAGACCTCTAGGTGCATGGGTCGACGCTCAACCAACTGAGCCACACTGGCCAGGGCACATCTAAAGGCTTTGAACCTCACATTTAATTGGGGATATTTTATATCTGAATTGTGCTGCTTATCAACTGTGAGCCATGCCCTTGTTTTTTGGTTTTATTTGTTTGGGGTGTGTTGTTTTTTTACACTGAGCAAGATTGCCCCTACCAGCTACCTCCCCTTACTTGTTGGATTAGATTACTTCCTGCAGTCATTCTTTCTCATATCTTGTATTTAGTTGTTGTTATAATTATGACCAGTATAACAAATTGTTTGTCTAATTATGTTTAATAGTTTCCCCCCAGAAACCTATAAACCCTATGAGACCAGGAAAAAGCCAGTAGTTCCTTCTCAAGCTGTTCTCTTTTCTTTCTGTTCTGCCTTCCTCATTTTTTGGTGCCAGCACACACACAGAGCTTGGCACATATTAGATGATTAATAAATACATATTGAATGAACCACACAAAAAGAAAGAAATAGTAACTATGGAAGGTGATGGATATGTTAATTAGCTTAATTGTGGTAAATACTTCACAATGCACATATATATCAAATCATCAAGTTGTACACCTTAAATATATACTTTTAAATTTTTTTAATTGATTTTAGAGAGAGAAAAAAAACCACCAATTTGTTGTTCCACTTATTTATGCATGTATTGGTTGACTCTTGTATGTTCCTTGGCTGGGGATCAAACCCACAACCTTGGATTATGGGGATGACACTCTAACCAACTGAGCTACCTGGCCAGGGCCTTAAATATATATACCTTTTAATTATCAATGATCTCAATAAAGCTGGAAAGAAGAAAAAAAAATATTGAGTAGATGAATAAACGAAGGAATAAATGAATGATACCTTCTCCCTTTTCTTATCCCTAGTCTTCTCCTTTCAGTGCCACGCCTAGTTCTTACCTCTAATCACGACTGCAAATTGACCTTGTAGAATGAGAGAAGAGCATGCCCCTCCCTTGTTTGATTATGTGGACAACATCTTTGAGGTTCTTCCTGGAACAGCATTCAGGGCACAATCATGGTGGTAAGACTTTGGTTGGATGACAATAATGCATCTTTCTTTAATGTTTTCCATCTCTCTTTATAAGTGCTCTCTACATCTCTGTGCCAGTACATTATATAACCTGACATCTCTGGACCCTGTGGTGACAGATTTTGACATACATACAGGAAATCCTTCTTCGAACGTGAATGGAAGTTGGCAAAAGATTGCTTTTCTGTACTACTTTGCAAAAGCCACTAATGTGGGGTGGGTTGCACAATACTAAATTATTCAGATCATAAATCTAAAGAAATTAGTTCATCGTGATCAATACAATCTAAGTGAATTGGTGTGTGGGATTCAATTTTCATAATATAATTAGTTTTGAAACATTCAAGTTAAGGAGACTAAGATGATCATGCAATATACCGAGTCTCCTAATTTCCAAGTAGGAGGATACTGCATTTTGGTCTTATATTAAATCTAAATTATATATATTTTTTCCACTTAAGTAGAAATTCCTTTTTTTCCCCATTAAATCATACTTTTTGATGTTACTAAAGCCCTAACTATTGAAAAATATTGGAAGAATGATTGAAAGTCAGCCAAGGCCTTCTGCTGATGAATTTAAGCTGTCTCATCGTAGGAAAATTTATTATTTTCAGTGATTATATCATAAATTGGCAGTTTTGAAAACTGTCCCCTCTAAACCACAAAGAACTTTTCTTAAACTAGTAAATTTTCTTTGTAGTTAGAAACCCCACATTATCATTCAATTTGTATGTCACACATAAGCTGTGTCATTTCCTTACAATTATTTTTGTGTTCTGCACTTGGCAAGATAATATATTGTCTCCTTTTTTCAAATTCTTCTGTGCTTGGAGAAGTGATGTTTATATGACTCATTAAAAGTATGTTCAGTGAATCCTTGTGGTTTTAATGTAGGGTTTCTTAACATGGGCACTATGGACATTTAGACCAGATAATTCTTTGGGGGCTGACCTGTGCATTGTAGAATGTTTAGCATCATCCCTGGTCTCTGCCCACTCAACGTCAGTAACACCTTCCAGTTGTAACAACCAAAAATGTCCCCAGACATTGCCAAATGTCCCCTGAGCAGCAAAATGCCTCCAGTTGAGAACCATTGTTTTAATACACTGTTTCCTTCCAAATAAGAAGGTATTATTAAGTCATTATTTTCATTTCTTATCAATAATACTGACAACCATTCACTATGTGCCAAGCAAGTACTTCACATTTAGTAATAATCTCAATTCTCACCACAGAACTCTGAGGTAGGTATTACTACCCCCATTTTATAGGAGGGAAACAGAATTGAAAGGCTAAGTAATTTGTAAGGCTATAGTTGAGGAACAATTCCAGGTCCAACTGACACTAAAGCCCATTTTCTTTTTTTTCTTTTTTTCCTTTTTTTTTAAATTTAAATATCTTTATTGATTTCAGAGAGAGGAAAGGAGAAGGAGAGAGAGAGAGATAGAAACATCAATGATGAGAGAGTCATTGATCGGCTGCAGCCCGCAACCCGGGCATGTGCCGCGACCAGGAATCGAATCAAACCCTGATGACCTGGATCCTAGGTCAATGCTCAACCACTGAGCCACGCCCGGCCGGGCTAAAGCCCATTTTCTTAATCTCAGTGCCCAGCCAACTGAAGATCTGTAGTCAAAATTCCCAAGTTCAGGTCCTGGGAAGATCATATAACCTTCCTGAACCCTTTCCTCTTACCTAAAGTGGTATCAATTATCATTTATATCTCAAGGGCTTGATAGGATTTAATGAAATAGCACGTAAGTGTGATTAGCTCAGCAGGTATAAGGTATTAGTATATAAACAAAATTACATTAATCTTCTGATATATTTTTACTTCAGCGTTTAGCCAGAAAAGAGAAGATAATTTAAACAATATTTCTAAAAAACTAAAAATAATTGTGTCCACCATTATAAAACCTTACCTCTCTGCTTTGCAGGAATAACAATTTTTAAGGAACCACATTACTAAATCTGCAGAATATTTTATAATAATACTTATCTCTCACTGCTATCTTTTTTAATTCCTCTTCTTCTAAAACAGACCCAATGTATTTTTTTTTTAATCCTGGTAAATAGATATGTGACCATTCAATGTCATGTCCATTCCCTTCATTGACTTTTTACAAAACCATCATTTTAAATGGTGCCTCCCCTGTCTACCCTAATTAAGCATATTGGCAGCAGATAAGTTTTCTCTTTGCTTTCTCAGACATGGAGTACAGAAATATGTGCATTTTTCCTTTGGAACTTGTTTTCCCTTGTAACAGATGAAATACTTATAAGACATTTTAAAATAAATTCTCATCAATTTTCAAAAGTGTGACACAAAATGTCCCCAACGCTCAAAGACCATCTCAGAGAACCAATTTTGGCATTCCAACGGTCTGACCAGTCTTCACCCAGTAAGCCAACAAACTCCCAGGACTCCTTTGGGAATGGAGGAGCTGTTGGCGTCCTGAATGTGCCAGGGGCCTCGGCCCCAGGCTCACTTCCGTAAAAGAACATCAGATGTCAGCTCCAGCGGGGGCATGAATTGCGTGTTTTGTTCATTGCTGCAAGCATCTTGGACAGTGTCTGACCCCTAATATGTGCTCTCAAATTGGTTTGAACCTTAGATCCACCACTTATAAGGCATGATTTTCAGTAATTCACTTAAACTCTTTAATCCTCAGTTTTCTCATTCGTAAACTGGAATAATAATAGTACCTACTCATAGGATTAACACAAGCACCGCTTTAAATACCACAGTTAAAGTATCTTAGAGTATCAGCACTGTGCCAGGCACGGTAAGCACTCAAAATATGTTTTAAATTAATTGCCTGTGTTATTGCCTCTACCTAGAATTTCTTCGCCTCACCCTCCTTTTCTTTACCTGGATAGTTCCCACTCATCATTTAGGTCTCAACTTGGATATAACCACTTCTAGGAAGGTGTCTCTGAACCTCCAAGTCTGAGTTAGCTGCCCTCCAATGTTTCATAACATCTTGAACATCTCTCCAGAGAGAGAGAGGCATTTAAAGACCTTTGTAGGCCTTAGGCATTCTGATTTTGGAAGACTTCACCTATGTCTTTATAAAACATACCAAAATGTACCTACATCCCATGTGCCCTGGCTGCTGCAGCAAAAACTTCTAATCTACAAGCATAAATCTCTCAGTTCCCTTAACCCTGAATTCTGGAGGTTTGGGGGACCCTGCCTCCCAGCAGCACTTTATAGATGAATTACTCTGCAGCTCTCATCACTCTAGGGACATGCTCACCACATTTTTTTAAGATGGTGGGAATTGATTTTTATCTTTAATTTTTGCTTACACATAATTCATCTGTTATGAGAAAAATAACAATCTCCAAAGGGAAAGTGTGCAAACCAGTCAGTTCCCATACTGCCTTGAGTCAAAGGGGAGAATAGTCCACCACCAAGAAGCTTAATGAAAAACAACCTGCAAGTTGTAATTTCAGGTTAGACTATAAATAGGTCTAGCTCTACCCACTGTGGCGTTCTTCTAAAATTCAGAGTGAAATACCATTTCATTGCCCTACCATATTAGTTGGGACTTTTTCTGATACAAGTTACTGAAATCCAAGTAAAACAAACATACCAAAAAAATGGAGAGGGATGTATTGGCCTTGCAAAGTGGAAGTCCAGGGGTGTTCTGGCTTCAGATGTAGCTGGATCGGGTTCAAGTCTTGTCATCAGTTCTCTCTGTCTCAGGCTCTGCTTCCCTCTGTGATGCTGGCTACACTCTCTCCAAGTAAAAATTTGTCTCTATCAAAATGAAGGGAAAAAACACACGTTGAAAAGCCCAAAGCAATGGCTACTACAATAGATAATATCCTGATTTACACACGATGTTAATAAAGAAATGAGTTGAAGACCTACTCCCTTAAGGAATCCAAATCCTACCCATTGTTCAGACTCCAGGAAAATTGGCCCCTGTCATGAAGCCTTGTCTCATCGCGTCACTCCTAGTGATCACTACTTTGCCAAAACCCCGAAGCACTTGTTGTCTACAAGGTTTATTCTGCAAGACAGTGTACATTGCTTTGTATTATTAACTTTATATGTGTGAAAATATGGACATATATGTTTATATATCCAACTCAATTCTCTTTTACAACCACAATATTTTTTTCTTACTGTAGAAATTACACTTACTTCAAATTATACATAGCAGGCAAACACTCATATTTATTGTAGATTTCTCCCAGTCTCCCCTGCCCTCTGCCCAAGTGATGGTAAAAGGATTTTACTTAAGACATAAACACACAAGGGTAAAGGGGAAGCAAAAGCAACAAAATAGTGGGAGCTGGAAGGGCGGTGCTAACCGACTTACACCACCAAGAAGCCGAGACAGCTTCCTTTGAGAGACGCTCAGAAGGAGGCTGGCTTGTGCTGTAGAACCCCAAAGAGACTTAGGAATGAGGGGTCCCAGATACCTCTGAAAGTGGGGGTTCGGGGAGACTGAAAACAGGAAGCTTGGTTGAGTATCCATATAAAAGCACTTTGTGCCCCAGCCAGGACGCTCCTCTACCCAAAGGAGCAGGGCAACTTCCCCTCCCCAACCCAGCAGGAAACCAAGCTTCCTCTTTGAGGAGGTGAAACAGAAGGACACAGGTTCAGTTGGGGTCAAGGACATACTACCACAATCAAGGACACCAGGCCCAGCGGGAGTGCGGGAGTGGCCACTACCTACTAACCCATGTCACTCCAACTCTAACGGCAGCAGTGATAGTGATGCCATTACAACTCTCAGTTACTGAACATTCATTACAAATCAGCCTCTGTGCTAAGCGCTGTGCATGCATTGTCTCACATCTAATCCTCAAATAAATTCTATGAAGTCAGCACTATTTTGCATTTTAAAATACTTTAAAAGGGAAGTACAATCAAAGTTAAGTAGCTGGCCAAAAACCTCACAACTGATAAGTAACAAAGCCCAAATTTAGACCCTGAATCACTACACTATAGGACTTCATTTATCAATTAATTTGTTCATTTATTCACTCAAGAAACACTTGCTATGTTGCACGATGTTAATAAAGATTCATCAGGATTTCTAAAGATGAATATAACATATGGTCTCTGTCCTCCTGAAGCTCTCAGTACAAAGAGGGCAATGAATCAATAAACAAATGTAACTGGTACATTGAACAAGTAGGTCTCCAAACTGGGGTCAGCTAGTGCTCTATCTCCAAACTGGGTCAGCTAGTGTTCTGTTCTGTGGACTATCTTCTTTATGTGGGAAGTAGATGAAATCTTGGGCAGGTTTTGTAAACTCTTTTGAACACTATTAGTGTCAAGTCCCTCTGTCTCTGCTCTGTTAGCCACAAGAACAGTCTGATTTTAGATCAATAATCTGAACCTCATTCAAAGTTACAGGTTCTTACTTCCCCAGGCTGGGGCTGCCTTGGGCTGGGGAACAAGCAATGGGGAAGCAGAGGCAGGGTGAGCTTTTCCTGAATCTCCCTGCCTTTTGCATCTTCTCCTGTCCCCTCCCAGTGCTGTATCTAGTTCCATCAGGGTGGGAGGGGAAAAGGGAGAGATAAACAGTAGGAGGTTTCTCAGCCATCAGTGTTCTTGTGATCTGGCAGCCTTGCTCTCTGACCTTGGAGGGTTTTAAAGCTGACTGTTCCTATGACAGGGTTCTTTTGTGGGATCCTCAGAGGTACTCCCACTGAATCCTTCTAAATAGCCCCCATGACTTAAGCAGTGTCTCTGACTTCTGGTTCCTTTTTCTGCCTGCAGCCATCCAGAGTCCTGTACTAGAGTTACTGCTCTCTCCTGGCTCTCTTCCTTGGCAGGATTAAAAAATGGCTCCAGGCTGCTTTGCTCCTATGAGTCTCACATCTGATCAATGAGAAACACACTTCTGTCAGTCATGTGAATGAAAGTGTAGTTTATTCCCTGGGAGACCTGTCTCCCTCTGCTCTACCTACAGGCTGGTAGCTCCAGCCGATCTCTTGCCCTCAATATATTCTCAGGCATAGAGCCCATGACTATTCTTTTGCCCTCAAGTCATGTGGGATTTCTGTTTTTCTCCTGAATGGTCCTGTCACCACCCTCCTGCTTGACTTGAGGAGAGAGGGAAGTCCTTCCTTCCATTCCCTCTGTGGGCTGGGGGAAGAACACAGCACACACTGTCAATGCTCTTGGAAGAAGTCATCCCTCCCCCTCAGACCCTTCAACTCTTTTGTATCCCAAAGTGGCTCATGAGCTCACAAATTCAACTTAGAGCATCCCCTTTGCAAGCCCAGCACGTTTGGTCTAGTATCCCACTTTGAAATATGATAGCACTTGGCACCTATTTTTTCTGTCTCAAACGTTGAGGTCTTAGCAGCAATTGAGGCACAAAAAGAAAGAGTTTCGTTTTGATAAATGACAATGGAGCATTTGACAAGTGCTAAAATAGAAATCCTTTATGCAGAGAAAGATGGCTCTTTTTCCTGGAGTAATAAGAAAAGATTTCACAAAAGAGTTGATACCTGAACTGCTTTCCAGGAAGAGGGTGTATTATATGCAAAATCATGAAAATACAAGTATGGCATGCTCTGTGAAGGGCGCATTGCAGTGAGAACATAAGATGTGTGCTGACGATGGTGGGAGATGAACCTCAGCAGTCAGATTATAGGGGCCCCTTGTGCCCTGCTAGAGAGTTTGACCTTCCTTAGAGTACAAAAGGGAGCCGGTGAAGGAGGTGTGGTAAGGAAGAGGTCTGAGCAGTTCACATAACCCAGGAAGTTGCATGAAAGCTGACTAGGAGGAAGGAGGGAAAGAACAGTAGAGCAGGTGGAAAGGGTTTACATGGAGACATGAAGCTGTGCTGGCTCTCGAGCTTCCGTCTTGATTATTTGCATGCGTGTTGACTTCGAGAGCATTATGCCTATGAGACAGCTCTTGTTTTTTTAACTCTATGTTGGTTTTCCACTGAGGTCATACTTTATTTTTAGAAACACATTCTATGCAAAATATATATAAAAGAAACTTAGAGTAATCCAAACACAGGACTAAGTACCCCCTGAGAAAAAGAAAACCTTTGGGGTCTTTTTCCTAACTGGATTCAGCCTTATGAAAAGTCACTTGAAAATTATTTTTTAAGTCAAAAAACAACAGAATCAGGTATAATCATGAACATCTGAGTTGTACTCACTAATTCTTTACTTGCAGGTCTTGTTTTATGATAGGTTATTCAGAAATAATCTTATCCCCGATGCTACTCATTTCTCCCCCACCTTACCATGCACACAGCTGCATATTATTTTCATGGAAATTTGGAACTTGCTGTCTCCTGAAAAAAACTCATAAAAATTCTGAGAGAAATAATAGCTAAACCATATAAATCCAGCCTAGGCCATCCTATTTGGTTCCTATTTGAAGGATTACTCAGTATGTTCCACACTTCAAGGCTAAGGGGAAAGGAGATCATTTCCTCAAAGTTACTGTCTCATTTTCCTATTTCCTTAATTGGGTTCCCTATTGCCTATAATATCAGCCTTTACCAAACATTATGATAATCTTATTGGAGTTTCCAAGGGGATTATGAGATTTTTCTTAATTAAACATGAAGCACATTTCAAAACTCAAATCTCATAGAAAACACAGAGCCTTCTTGTCAAACAGTTTCTAACTGTTCTTCTTATTACTAGACATAACTGTAGGTCAGTATCAATCACAAACCCATTGGTCACATGACCAAAACACCCCTAGAGAGGGTCACTCAAGTCCACTATTCTTCTGTAGGAAGATCCCATGACTAGGCTTAAGTTCTGCCTCTGTAACACCCACACCTCCCCCGGGCTCCCTGAAGGCCAATCTATGTCACCTTCATCTCAGCATCTCCAGAGCCCCACATCAAGCGCAGTGCATAGTAGGCCTTCAATAAATGTAGACTGAATTGTCTACTGAATTTTAAGCAAGAATAGCCAGACCTCTTAGAAATCATGTCACCAATGTTTTGAAGATCTTTTCTTTGGGGGTGGGGGGCTTTGCTCACAATCAGCAATTGTTTTATTGCTTTTACAATGAAAATTAAATCAAGGAAGAATCACTCACAGAAGGAAGTGGAGCTTCATTGATTTAAAGCTATTTCATGTCTCTCCTCTGCTCTGCTTTGGTCTTCTACTGAGCAACTATGCCTTTAGGTTTAAATAAAGAAAGAGAAAAGAAGAGGGGGAAAGTTAGAAATACTGGATCAGCTTTTCAGGAGAGGAAAGAAACATAACCTTTGTCATAAACTACAGGAAACATTTCTTGAGTGTACTAATTTGGGTGCAACTACAAGATCAATGAAATTACTTGGAAAGATCTGTTTTGGAAAGGACACCTATGAAGGGCAAAATAGGCATAACTTTCAACTTGCTTAGACTGCTATTTTTTAAAAAGAGGCCTAAACTATCTAAATAAGACTCCAACACACTTTATAATTTAAAAGCAGAACAAATTGTTGTTCATAATGTATTGAAAATATTCATTTTAATGTATATGTTAATTTTAGGATAAATTTATGATAGAGTAGGGTTTAGTTTTACGTTTTACATAATTCCAGGCATCCTCTTTTAATCAGTATGCTTATGACCTATTTTATAGGACTTAGAGCATGATTTTATTATGTTAAATTATTTTAGAGGTTTGCAGTTGTACTTTGTCTTTTTGACGAGTTATTGATTATAACTGCATTTTATTTGCTACTGAGTCCTTGGTCAGCCCTTAATTACAACCGTGTCACTAGAAGAGAAATGTTTCATTTTATGAAAGACAAGCTTTCTAAG